ATTTTTCTCTTTAACTATTTTTATATAACTCTGTTTCTCTAATATTCTCTCTCTCTCTTGCACTTCCCTGTCTCGTTTCCCCCCAGATCTCTCTCACCTCTCACTTCTTTTTTCTCTTTCTCTCTCTCTCCCGGGTAATTCATTGCCGTCTAGTCTGGGGTGAAGACGTCGTAGTTCCCCTGGGAAAAACACGCGCGTTTTTTCTTCTCGTCTCAGCTGGATGTGAAGGAACCAAAGATGGCGGCTAGTCGTTATTGTTGATGTTGTTGTTTGAGCCCTGAAGATGACGTTAAGGAGATTACTGAGTTTATTTTATTCCTCAACTGTTGGTTATGATTATGATGATGATGATGATGATATTACTACTAGTATTACTACTACTACTACTATTGTTCCTCCTCCTCCTCCTACTACTATTACTACTACTATGTTTTTTTAGCATGGCCTCCAGCCTCCCCAATAGCCACACCTTCGCCGCCATTTTATTACCTTAAAATTAAATATCCTTATACATAAGTAGCTACCCTAGCTGTGTTGAGTTAGTTGAGCCACAGATCTATGTGGCATTTAGTGACTGTTGCCAAATAGTCATTAACTGCAACTGCTGTCGGCTCTGGGGCCGATGCTCTCGTTTCCTTGATGCAGAGCAAAGCAGACCTAAGGAGAGAGGACAGTCGACATCTCATCCAGGCTGTAACATAACTTCTGGGCTGCTGCTTCTGTTCGGATAGCACCTCCGCGAGTCTAGCATAGACGCACCTTGCACTTGGTCCCATCCAACCAGAGGTTGTGAACACTAGAGGAGTGAAGCTGCCTTGATCAACGTTCTGAATTCTCTCCCCATATGCCCTTATCTTGTCGTTCTCGTTCCTCCTGTGTGCAGCATCGAGAGCAAAGTTACGGTGACATGCCGCCATTGGATCAAAAATCCTGATGCCGAAGAAGGCTCGCTGTCCCCGCTTCCAGAATCCTCGAGCAGTGACGATAAAAGGGCTTCGTTGGATGTGTTTGAATGTTGGAAATTCTCACCGTTCAATGGAAGGAGGGTCGGTTCTACGCTGACATCGCAACAGATTTCCTTCAACACATTTGCTGTGAGATCCCTTACTTCGTCATGCCTCATGCATATAAAGTCCCCTTTCTTGCACACCATGGCGTGATCAACGTCAGAGGAAGAGCCACACACGTATTGGGAGGGCAAACTTTCTACTGGCCTACCGTACCTTAGAGCAGTGGTTCTCAACCTGGGGGCCATGGCCCCCAAGGGAGCCACGGCGAGCTGTTATAAATTGTACGTTTCCAAATAATGTTGGGAATCTGAATTAAACAAAACTTGTATTACTTATTTTGACTTGGCAGAAGAGAATTTTCATTCCTTTTTTTTTGTCATTTTGTTTAATCATAACGACAATACAATTTTAATATTTACATACTGTGGTGCTAATTTTATATGTATATTTTTTACGGATTATTTAAGTTTTCACAGGTCCAGTCCCTGTCTGTGTGACAGGCGCTGGACCGAGCTGCTGAACTGACTTGTTCAGTACGTGTCCGTGTGTCATCCCTTTGCAAGTGGTGATAGGACCGAATGACCTCAGTCTGGCCTGGGATACCATCACGAAAACAGTGGAGTGTTTTGTCTCTAAACCATATATTGTGTTTGAGCTTGACTCAAGCATAATACACTCCGTAATTGGTGTTACTTATTTTGATTCATAATTCACGTGGTCGCTGCTTTACGTGGGTGAAATATTTGTACACTTCCTTTATTAATTATTTCCTCATTTATTGGTGCCATTGTTGTTCATACTCATTCTTTACTTATATAATCCTACCATTTTTAGTGCTAAATTGGTATGACTCACTATTCTTCTCATTCTTCCAAGTTGGGCAGTGCTTGTCAAAGGAGGCGTGTTCTTGCTTACAGGAAGTACACTTCAGCTTGCTAGCTTGAGTGTGAATGTTTACCTGTGTGCATGTTTGTGTATGGCTGTGTGTGTGCTTTATGTGTGAGTGCATGGGCGTGTTATGTATGTGAATGTGTGTGTGTGTTTGCCATTCTAACTCTTGTCCTTCTTTATCATTCTTTAGTCTTTATCACTTGTCTGTTTATCTGTTCTGGGAGAAAAATGAAGGAGGCCACGAGGATGTTGAAAATTCCTCAAGGGGGGAATGGAGTGAAAAAGGTTGAGAACCACTGCCTTAGAGCATTGGCATCTGTAAATTCTTGTTTATTGAGACTGAAACCATTTGCCCTTATCGGTAACGTAGTTAACAGTTCGAGGCGCCCACCTCCTGTGCCATAGCTACTTTTTTTTCAAATTTTCTGGTACTTGCAGCAACAGTTGCTGCAACTTATCACTTTGGCCGTGCTGTCGTTCTGTCGTAATGGACCGTCGAATCTTGTTTACTTTGCTGGTATCCACCTCACCCGTTGCGTTCTGAGCTATTATGTGGTCAGTGAGGGCTGCCGTGAGCTTAACTGAGTTTTGATGTTCGG